AGATAGAAAATATGGTTGGCAGCCTGGTATACATTATAACTGCCACTTGTCCAAATATGTTGCATAGTAACAAAATTGTTGCAATATTCCATGGACCACTTGATTCAAACAAGTCTTATGCTATTTGAAAGGTACAAAAACACCCTGTTTAGTACTTAATAAATCCAGTAAGCCCTTAACTTTAAGAGGCTTTTGTGACACTGATTGGACAAATTCAAAAGACCGCTGCAGTATTTTCAATGATTTCATGGAAAATGAGAAAGCAACCTACAGTAGCGTTTGTCCACATGCAAAGCTGAGTATATAGCATTGGTGGCAAGAGGCAAAATTCAGTTATTAAACACATAATTAATACAATTAATACAACTGAAAATGAGGAAGCCATTATCTAATAATCAAGGTACATAACTCTTGCTAAGAACACTGTCTACCATCAATGTTCCAAACATGTAAACATAAAGTAACATTTTACAAGGACTGAGATTCAAAACGGTACAATAAAATTGGACTATATTCAGTCAGATGAAAATATTTGGAGAGGTGAATAGTGATAGTCTGCTAATAGCCTCCCATCTGAATTTAAGTCATTTACAATTGTTATTACTCAGAAAGTAATTGTTTAGTGAATTCAAAGTAACATTACAAAGCTTCAAAGAAACTGAAAAAATGATTCAGGAGAATAACAGTGAAAATGCCATAATGGCTCTCAGAATGCCAAGACCAAAGTCACACACTAATGGTCTTAGTTGTTTTATTTGTGGTAAACCAAGATATAAAAGCCTTGTCTGCTGGAGTAAGTTTTAGAAATATCTGGTAAATAATTTCCCCTCAAAATGACATAATTTTAATCTGCCAAATAAAAATTATTATTTGCCATGCTTGTTGCAAATCTGGACATAAAAGTACAGAGTGCAAAAGAAAAAAAGCTCATTTTGTAAAAAATGTGGTTGAACATCAATTTCTGTTTTCAACTGGACTAGATACCATTTCCAACAAAAACATGTTGATTGTGGAGCCACAACTCTTGTTATTACTGACAAATATAAATTTATTAGTTTTGATAATGATTTTAATCCAGAAAATCATAATATTGAACTGGCAGATGGAAGTAGAACAAGTAATATTGCTTTAAAGAGTCAATGCTCAAGTTACTTTAAGTGATACAGAAGGGAATGTGTGAGATTGCATTTTAAAGGACGCTCTTTATATCCCTACATTTAAACAAAATATATTCTAGGTACAAGCTACTACTAAAAAAGGTGCTTCCGTAAAATTTTGCTGTAATTAATTGAAACTTATTTACCCTAATGGTGTAAAATTTGACATAAAAAGAAATGGGCGCTTATACTATTTAAATACTCTAATAACCGCTAAAACTGCTAAGCATAGCCTAAAACAGTGGCCACTCATGGTACAATTTGAATTGATGTAGCTTCAAGATAGTTTCATTTTCTTAAAATGAATTTTTCCAATGGAGTTTTAACTCGTCCTTTTTTTTATTATTTTTATTTTTGTATCTAGAAATTTCTCTCATTGAATGAAAGTTACTACTGGATGTTAACTATTATTTGTATTATGAAAAATGTAGATGTGTGTAAATGTCATGGTGGCATTTAGAAATTACAGCAGCAAAATAGCTGTTATCAATTTGGTGCTTGGGAATTATCAATATTTTAAAAGTTGAAAATTTTTCACAGATTTAAAGTTCCCTTCTTCTATTTAATATTTTTCATGCTGTATTTCTTGAATGTTAAAAAATTGCTTTTAAATTATAAGGAATAGATGCAATGTTATGTGAACAAAAACTCAAAAGACAAGGATCTTTGTGTTTTAACTCTTCCTGAATTAAATCCTCTGAAATATAAAGCAAAATATCTAAATATAAAAATATGTTAATGGATAAACTCTGTGTTTGTGTCTTTACGATACGAGAAAACTAAAATTAAAAAAAAAAAAGATAAAGCTTTTGTTTTATTTGGGCAGAATTAAATAGTAGGGATATTTTCAACTATTATTTGTTCATTTTTCTCTCTCTCTCTTTCCTTCTTTTATAAGCTAATATGTTACTTTGTTTTTTTGTATATGAATGCATTCAGTTTGTTTGTCCATTGGTTGGTGAATCAAGTGGAAAAATTGATGTGCCCTACATTTACTTTAATTAAACTTATGCCATCTAATGAAGCCATTTTTCATTTCTATAATACTAGCCTTTTCATCAGATGTATATTTAGTTCAGTACAGCTTGTACAAGAACTGGATGGCATACCTCAGTAAGTAGAGATAAAGAAAATATAATGAATTGTTTGATGAATAGAGAGGAATAGGACATTATGCTTGAAGTGTAGTACTGTTTTATAGATATGAAAAGTTTAATATATATTATATTTTTTCTCCTTGTAAGAATAGTAAGAAACCTATTTTAAAATATGTATTTTGTCCACTTCAAAAGGTTCCTAAAAATCTTAATTGATTCTAGAAAAGGGAAAGTATCCTTTTTATGTCTTTATTTTAAAGATACTGCATATTATTTCCTAAGGAAATTAAAGGACTTATTTTGAAATATGATCCATTTTGTTTACTAATGTAGAACAAAATAGGTGTGTAGTTTGGTTTATTCAGTGCAGGTGTAAAAGATCTGGCTTACTTATGCAAATGAATGCAACTAGTACACAAGTATTCTTTTTCATTTTAGTTTTCATTTTTTTTTTTCTAACATGGTGAGAATAAATATAAGTTCTGCCAAAATCGTAAGTCCTATTAAACCAGGTCATTGATAGTCAAACTGATCCTGATTGAGTATGGTCATCCTTTCATGATCAGCTAGTTCCAATTTAATATTGGAATGTAAACCATTAAGACTGTTCATTTTTTATCTCTTAAACTTTCAAGAAACTAAATACTAATCCTGAAGGTTGACATCACTTGAGAAAATTGTCACAATATGAAAGATCTTGAAAAATATGCATTTAGAAATTACCTGATTTGAAAATTTTTTGCATTTTTGGATTTTCTTTTATGTGCTGTTACCTTTTTATTTATTTTTCAGATGTTAGCATTTAAGATTTCCTTGTCTAGATCTTCATGTAAACAAGCAAAAATAACATTTGTTGAAATATAAAGTCTACTCTTAAAGAAAAATAGAAATCCTAAATGTAATAATTTTAAGATATTCATTTTATGAACCTACTGCTTTGTTTTGCCTATAGTTAAAATGTTCTTGAATTTTCAAATATATCCAAAGATGAGATTAAAATATCTTTGTGATGGTATCCAGAATAGTAGTATTTAAAATAAACTATTCTGAAATATGTAATTTGGTACCAAAAAGATTATTATAACTTTAGCTTGTAAATGAAAACAGAATTTTATTTTGATATATTTTAAATGATGATATAGGAGAAAAAGCAGACACTGATAATTTTCAAACAAACATTGTATCTCAGATTTCCAAACAATGTTTAGGTTTGTTGAATAGATTCTACTGAACCAGATGAATTTCAATAGCTGCACTTTTTTCATTTTGGAAAAGAATTTCTTGTCTGAAAAAACTTTTTCTATGAAAGTAAAAAAAAAAAAAAATTATACAAAACTTAATTTTTTTTTTTTTTTTTATGATAATCAATGTTAATAGATTTTAGACTTTTAGTACTTTAATTTTTTTTTTTTTTTTTTTTTACATTTTTTACGATATATGAAAATGTATAATTAGCATAAAGGTCATAAAATACTATTGAAGAATACAATTCTGGTCCCCCCCACCACCCAAAAAAAAATGTTATCATTTTTTAACTTCTTGAGGAATTATTCTTTTAATTTAATGTGTATGAAATTGACAGTAAGAATGATTGTAAATATTGTTCTTTTGTGAATGTGGGAATGGTCATATTGCAATTCCAGTTTTCATTACTTGTTTGATCTTGGTCAATACTAAAACATCTCTTTAGAGATTACTGAATCCGTGGATTGCGTTTGGCTATATTTATCTCATTACTATTCATGCTTCAAGATCTTGTCAGAAACTACAACGAAAACGGCCAATGGTCAGAAGTAGATGAGTTTGTATAGGAAAAAAAAATCTGCAATTATGGTTGCAGCTCTCATGATTCAAATAAGTTTTGTTGGTAGCCTAGCAAATAATAAGAGCAATAGATTCATATTTCTTTTAATATAAAACAATTTTAATTAATCTGAATTCATATATTTTTTTTAGTTAACAGGATCATGAAATTAAAATGTTAGCTTTTACTCTTGTTCATAAAAATATTTTTTTGTCACTAATAGTTGTAAAAAATGAAAAAATCCTAACAGACTTTCTGCTATACTTCATTGTTTTTAGTTAAATTCACTGAACAACAATCTGTTTATTACTGCATTCTATATTGTAAATGACAATAATATAGTGTCAGTTAATATTATTATACCAAATAAATCAATATGCTATTATGTAATGGAAATTGACTTCTTGGAAATGAAATTGCATTTGCTGATTAAAGAAGACATTCATTTTGTTTACATTTCTTGTTCAGCATGAAATTAAAACTTGGTTGTTTTATGTATTTAAGAAAAATACAAAGTAACTCAACTCTGGTTTTAAAAGGATAAAATGCTTCAGTATTCAGTCTAATTCTGTCATTTCATGTGGAGTAAAGTTCTTGTAAGGAAACATTTTAAAATTTTCTTGGTGGTAGTTAAAATATCAAATTAAAAGGAAATGAAAATTCAACATGCTGTCATAAAATCTTGTTTAAATTTGATCTTCTGTTAGTGTCTTCCTCCAAAATATGAAAATCTATATATGTGTGGGTGCCTGTCAGTTGTTTTAAAGTCATGCATTGTTCTCCCCCCCCACACACACTTTTTTTTTTCTTTAAAGTTTGTTTTTAATGTGCATTGGAAGTGATGCAATTTCCTCTCATCTTGAACTTGTTTTGATTAACTCTTCCTGTTGTATCATTGTATTTTTTTTTTATATTTTCTTGTATTATGTCTAATTGTTTCAGGGTCTCCAGTCTACACTTGACAATGCTCAAACTCAGTTGGCCTGTGAGTTACTACATACACATACCAGGACAAAACTTGTGATGTTTCTAACTCCCTTCAGCCTGGTAAGTTAATATTTGGCATAAATAAAATAGGGGTGGGGGAGTAACAACCCCCCCCCCCCAATTGAAAATTCTTGATTTATTAAAAATATAAAATTTCATTCAAAATGCACTGTGCTTTTAATTTTTTTTTTAAATAAATACATAACCATGGTATATAGAGAACATGTTTTGACCTTATCTTTTTATGATCAGGTCTTGTTTTAATGTAACAATCAAGACTTGTGAAATAATGCTGGCTGCAATATTGTTTCTCTTTTCTCATCTTCACTGTTTGCTTTAAATTTGGATCATAACTGAAATGAAGGATTTCCAGGCTTTAAGAATTTAGTCTTTTCTATTATGCAGTCTTCCACTTGGTGATTTGGATGTCAGTGCACCAAACACTTATAGAAAGATTCATAATGGCATCACTGTCCCATTCATATCTAAGTTTGTATTTAGAAAATATTTCAGATAGTGTGAAAAATGTTAGACTTGTAGCCTCATTATTTTTATCACAATGTTGTAGTTCTATTTAGTCTATTGCATTGGACTGTTATCTGGAAGTTGTTTTTTTTTTTTTTTTTTTTTTTTTTTTTAAATTTTGTTTCTAGACTATTTTACTTGCATCTTTCTTCCTAGCTTATTGCATTGACAGTATTTATTGAGCTTAGTTTGGGATGGCAAAAGGCTAAATTGGAGGAAATTAACAGAACCTGTCTTTACTACGACGGCAAATTTATTCCACATGTGTTAGGAAACTGAGCAGTATATTGTTGGCCACATGTTTCAATTTTCTATATGAAACAAACTAGATACTTCTTAATGCAAAAGTTTATTTTCTTCATCTATCCTTTAATTTGTGGCATGTTCTAAATTGCAATCTTTTAATATGAATTTACTTTTATTTTATTTATTTATTTATTTTTTTAATGAGATGCAAATACGTTTTTGGAAATATCATTTTGACAGCTAAGGTATTTCAATGGTTTTATTTAATAAGGAGAGTTTTTATATACAGTTCAAGTTCTTGAAGCTTAAAAAAAATCCCAACTATGGTAATGGATATGCAAATATCTTGTTTAAACCATGGTGATAGTAAAAAAAGTTATGTATCTTTGAAAAGCAAAATCTGATCTAAACTCTCTTATGACATTTGCCATACATTGTTAGTGAATTTTTATCATGGTAAAACAATGCATGAAAGACATGAAGCATTTTTTTCATAAATTTACTTATCTTTTGATATACATTTACATCTTGTCATCATGTACAAATTTTCCATATATTTATAATAGGCATAGACAGTGGATGTCATATTTTCTATTACCAATAATAGGAAAAAAGATGTTGAATCAATAAGCTGTGAATTCTCTTGTTTCTGTGTGGGTGTTAGGATTTAGATAGTGAAAGATTGTGTGTATAGAGGGAGGGAGTAAGTACACTTCAATACTTTCTCTACTGAGAAAAATGTCTAACATTGATTTTTAACTCAAACTTATACAATCTGCTTCCTGGAAAGTCTTTATTATAGCTTGTTCATTTATTTTTCTCAATTTCTACTTTTTTTCTTTTTATCAGCCAGAATATTTCTTTTCAGTTAAAAATCTTTCTGCCTCATCTTCTCTTTTCACAAGACTGTTTGATAACTGTAAAACTTAATAACTTTATCTAGTTGTGGAAATTCTAAAAGTACATTTGACTTTCATTTCTACTTGCTTTTTGCCAATTTTGTTTTCCATCAACTTGGCAAATAAAAGAACGTCTTATTCTGTGAGTTAGTGGATTGTTTACCTATCTATTGTTAGTGTTGTTATATACTGCATATTACCAGTTGAATGTTTATTTTAAGTATAACAATCAGATGTGTATATATACATATATGCATATTGATATCTTATGATCGAGATTTGATGAACAATTGGGGTGAGAAGAACTTTTGCTCTTGTTTCACATCAGATATCCCTTTTCTAATTTCCTTTGCATTACAAATCCTAGCATATGGCTTGCTAGACATTTCTATGATATCTTTCTTTTTATTAATGATGAGGATTAAGACCATATCATGTTGAAACACCAGTTCACATGTGATCACCCAAAACAGTACCTAGATGGGTGACTACTTGGGAATACCTGGCGCTGTAAGCTTGGATATGTGGGTGGTGTGATGAATAATGACTCTGAATTGTTAATCAGAGAGTAGAGCTCGAATTCCCATTGGGTTTGTTATATTCATTAATGTGCAGATACCCTTAGGGAAAGGTATGAATCCACCTCTTTTACCCTCACAGCTATGGGTTAATTAGTAAAACTTGTATCACTAAATCCTTATCTCTTAAAAACTTTCGTACAATCTAAAAATACTTTCTGGCTTTAAATAACCTGTAAACAGTTGATAAGCCAGAGAAAATGAGTAGATACTCTGCAGTAAGTTGTTAATGGTCTACTGCTCAATTGTGACAATTAGATTATTTTGTCTTGATGTTAATATTTGCCTCTGATGTTGGTGCATTGTTTATTGGATTGATACATAAATGCTGAATGGCACTTAGAAGTAAAGACTTGATAGTCTTTACTATTTGGACTTATTACTTCATAGTAACAGTCCAAATAAATTATCCTTAACTTAGTCTTAATTATTCCAGTTTTTCTTCTAATAAATGAACTCTATTGTCCTTCATTTGTCCAAAGTTAAGGAAGTTAAGAGCTTTTTTCAAAGTTATAAGCTTATTTGGTCTTAAGTATTTCCAAATGGAATTTTGTTTATTATAAAAGTCAATAAATTAATACTAAGTAAAAATGTCGAAATAAAGTCCGTATTTCATGTAGAGAATAATTCAGTTTGTTTGAAAACATTCCAACAATCTTGGAAGAAACAGACATTTCTATCAAGAAGTATTTGTTATGGGATAGATGACTACTGATAATTTCGATCAAAGTTAAACATTTATCTAGATATTAAATATATTAACATTTTTCTTAAAGCAAAATTGGTTGATACACTTTTGCATAAAATCTTCTGTTTATGATTTTTAAATAAAAATAAAAAATTGTATTGATACCATTAAAGCTTTTTGAGACATTAGTGTCTTTCAATAAAACAAAAAGGTTGCTTAAAAGAAAAAACAAACTCAGGCTGAGGCATCTTATCACATCAGTTTATATTGTAAGAAAAGAAAAAATATATAGATGGTTATTTTTTAAAGCAAGTGTTGTCTTTGGAAACCATTTTAAAAAACACTCAGATTCTCATAAAATTATAAAAATTTCCTAAATGGCTTGCACATTGGATGTTGATACAGCTGGAAATGTTTTTTGCACTAATGTGGGTGAAGACTTTAACAAAAATATAGACTGTTGCATAGACTTAAGCCTACCTTAATTTTTGTTAAAATGCTTTAGTATTTTGACTCGGCTAAAGAATGTGGATTTTTGATTGAAGAGGCACTGAAAAGTTCTCTGCTTAATGAACAACTTACAACCATGAAATGTAAATACTATTCCACATATTCCCTCCTCCCCTGTCACACACAACTGTTTCACACATTTGGCACATTGTTTTCATGTTTCTTTAAAACTTCCTACAAATTAATGAAATACTGATTTTGGGGTAGTGGGCCTGGTTGAAAGTTTTTCAGCACTTCCTCAGGATCTAATGTGAAAAAAAATACTCTAAGAGTTTTAAAACTTTTTTTTTTTTTTTTGTAGATTTGATTCCTTACATTTGCTTTAAGAAATGATCAATGTTAAACCATATTTAAATTTTCTGTAAGTCTTTAAGGTATTTTTGCAGTGCAGTAACATTCAGCACATAAACATATTCCGAAGAACCAGTTACATATATTTTTAATGTAATTTTATGTTTCTATAATTAAACACTTGGAATATATATATATATATATATATATATATATAACTTAAGTATTCTATATGATTAAAACATTGTTGTTAATTTGTATGTTCTTGGGCTAATTCCTTAGTTGGTTAACATTTCTTCTATGAAAAGCGAGTGCTTTTTAAGGATATTAAAATATAACATTTAAAACATTGATATTGTTGTCAAACCATTTGTAATTAGTAATTTTGATAGCTGCCCCCTCCCCCATTTTAATGTGACTGATTTCTCTATCTGATCTTCTGCTGTGTTTAAGCATTTTCGTATAGGTTTTGTATTTGCCAGTAGAGATTAGAGAAACTTTTCAATAGTCAAATGAAGTTGGGGTATTATAGAAATCTAGTTCTTATGTTAATTGCATGTTTTTGCCTTTTCATTGAAAAATTTTGCAGTGAGCTTATTATGTTTTTCATAGGTAATCTTAATATTATGATAGCCTTTCAAATTATGCTTGTAACTAACCTCCCATCTAAGATTATTGCTTGAGCAAGCAAGTAAATTCTCTTATTTGGATTTTTGTATCTATTGAAAATTTTAAAGTTCAAGCATCACATATCTTTTACTGTCTTGAATTATTGGTTAGATATAGATCAATTATTATTTTTTTTTTTTTTTTAGATACTATATTTGAAGCTGTGTTGGGTTATCATTTACTTTTCCTGTCAAATTCTAATACTATGTAAGTGTTTGATAATCTTGTGGGATTAATGCTATGCAATTTTTTTTCCATATGTGATTTAAGAAAAAAACATTAATTGAATATTTACCACTATCTAGATATTTTCTCTATAAATTTTTTACAAACTTCATAATGCTTTTAGACCTTTAATAAAATTATGCCATATTACAATTTCTTCCTTAGATTTCATGATATATTACTGAATGTTATGGATACTGACATTGTTACCTTTTTGAATTTCATATAGATGAGCCAAGATTCATTTTTTTTTTTTTTTAAAGAAAACTCCACCTAGAACATACTTATCCCAACCTCCTCTTTTATTAAATATTCAAATGAAATATTTTGTCTTAGAATGCCCACTACCTCAATTAAGGAGTGGGAGAATTTTTGTAATTTTTTAACATTTATTACATATGCCTATTAGTTTTTAGTCTTAATCTTGAA